GTTTTAACCAAGAGCATATGAGGAACCAAAGTTGGGGATACTCCCAGAACACCCCATTGTGGATGGGGGGGCGAGTTTCTTGGACTCTAGAACAGTCCACCCAGGATGAATAGGAAAAAGTTATTTTTTTAGTCAATAAAACCTAGAAACTCTCATCCAGCATGGATGGGGAAGTTATATCTGGGGTTTTCAGAACAAACCCTACTAGGTTGCTTATTCTGGGAACTGTAATCAAGAAAACAGCTTTTCTTATATTTACCCAGATCACAGGCTGCAAGGAACTGGTACAAGTGAGTCAGTTTTCTAAGCAATGTGACTGTCCAACTCTTTGTTAGATCCCTGGGGGAAAATATGTTAATATTTGATATAATATTCATGAGACTCCACTTGTCCAGACAGGATGGAAGTGCTGTTAGTGGATGCTTCACCAGACAGGCTGGAGGGGCATTTTTCTGCCCTGAATGGGGTTACACTCTTCCTAAGGGACAGGGTCCGCAGCCTGGGGGTGCTCCTGGACCCCAGTCTAACTCTGGAAGCCGAGGTGGGCTCAGTGGCTGCGGAAATTGTACCAGCTACGGCCCTACCTGGATGAGCGGAGTCTCATGACAGTTACACATGCACTGGTAACATCTCGTATAGATTATTGCAATGCGCTCTACGTGGGGCTGCCTTTGAAGACGGTCTGGTGACTGCAACTGGTCCAAAATCGAGCTGCGCGGCTGGTGAGTGGTAGGGCCACTAGGGGACATATCAAGCTGATTCTGATTAAATTACATTGGTTACTAGTTGCTGCCCGGTCCCAATTCAAAGTGCTTGTTTGCACATATAAAGCCCTAAACGGCTTGGGCCCTGGATACCTGAAGGACCGCCTCCTTCCATACGAGCCTACCCGACAGTTAAGATCTAGCCAGGAGGCCCTTTTGAAAGAGCCATCCCTCAAGGAGGTAAGAGGGATGGCTTGTAGAAAAAGGGCCTTTTAGATCTCAAAGCATGGCAGTTTGGGGTCCCATAGAAGTGGACATTTCCTTACATTGAAGCAGATATTTCTTGTTTTCTTATATAGAACCAGCTATAAATATTGTAAATTCCATTAGCAAGGTTTTAAAAGGAAACGGAGCAAAAACGAAGGCAAAATAATACGATATTTCAAAGGCTTAATAGATATATTTCAGTGTGAGCTTTTGTGATCAAATCAATTTCTTCAGACCCACAAAGTATAAATACTGTCTTCTATATCTATGCTCAGGTAATTCCCAGTGTGATATGGTAGGTGGAGTTCACTAGTAGTCTGGTGAACAGGATTCGAATCCCCACTCAGCCATGGAAACTCACTGGGGGAAGAGAACTGGTATAACCACTCTAACTTACCTTGAAAACCCTATTAGGGTTGCTATAAGTGGATTCCAACTTGACGGCACACAACATACACACACACACATCCACCTATAATTGTAAGAATCATGGTCAGGTACAGGAATGGGACTTTTAGCTATTAATTATATAGAGTTCACAGCTGGAATAAGCTTCGTTGAAGATGGAGGCCACAGCCAGAATAAGCTGCATTGTCAGGTGGATTTATATGTTATGAGAATGCTAAAAGTTGTTTTTGGGACAGAAGCCTGTGTCTGTCAAGGGAAACAATTATTTTACACCCATAAGCTATTATAGAAAGCTAGGGCTATTCTCATCTCCCTTTCCTGCTTTAATTTCACCAACATGTTGAGACAGACTAACATCTTTACCTCTCTGGAAATTGCTAAATTCAATTGGGGGACGGCAGATGTTACCAGCAACTCCCCCAACGACAGGAACGTTGCTCTTGTATGTCATGTAGTAGTTTTGGAAGACAACTTCAGGTTGCATTTTACTTGGCCGTCTCCTTATAATTTTCTAGCAGTGTTACCTGTCCTCTCAGTTTCACTCTCCTTTAAAACTGTGACGAGGCACTTACATTCACACCCTTAAATATCTATTCAGAATGCCACCCAAACAGAGTGAAACTAAATGCCTGTTACTTTGTGATAACATTGTTATTGACTCCTGAGAGGGAACAACATTTTGTAATCTTTAATACTGGCGAGGGGAAACACTATGGTCACACAATAAGATAATATGGTATAAATAATAATAACCAGTGAAATTTATTTCTTGAAAACAGCAAGTTCAGATTTTTATCAAAACAGGATCCCAGTGGTGGTAACAGATAAATATGGCTTACTATAGTATGTGGTCTGCTATAAGCAAGTACTGGTTCTAGAGAAGTATTAGCACAAGTACTGACATGAGGGAAAGATACTGGGGAGGTAAGGGGAATAGTATTTATATAAGCTGCGGTGGAATGGAGGGGTCAGAGAAGGCTGCTTTGACTGGTCCACTTGTGTGCACCTAAATCTGTATCTGACCTATGGAACAAGATTTAGTGGTTAAAACCTTGAACCCCACCCCACCCCCGATTTATATCAGAATTAGTATCAGGCAGTTTTAATGATACTACATATGGCAAGCAGAGTTGTTTACATCTCTTTCTACCGTTCATAACTGTGTCCTGCCAGTTACATAAGGCAGTCCAGACAACAAAGTCTTGGTACAGCTACTATTGTTACTGATCTGCTGATGTGTTGGCATCCATCCACTACTCCCTTCTGCCTAGTGCTTTTTAGTACACCTCCTATGCAGGCACATATTTAATAACACAAAGTCACATGTTCTCACAGCCCAGTCCTATGCATGTACACTCCTAAAGTCCTAAAGTGTTCTGTGAATCTGACTTCTGTTCTACAAGAGCTGTAGGCAGGGCTGGAGCTACCACTAGGCGAACTAGGAGACCACCTAGAGTGCAGACCTGAGAGGGGCGCAAAACTGACCTCAGAGGGTTGCAGAAGTGACCTCAAGGGTGCAGAATTGACCTGAGAGAGGCACAGTTTTATACAGACTAGTTTCTTGAAAAAATGCAACTGAAAATTTATATTTTAAAATTTTAAGGTAAATACCACAACAGTGCTATGGAATATAATTATTTACAAAATCATATATATTTTTTTCTATATACTGTAACCGAGGGGTCATTTCATAGAAAAAGGGCTGCTGGTACTCTCATTAGCATAACTCATTTGCATATATCACCCCTGGCATCAATGGAAGTAAGCAAAAAACCACTGGGTAAGTAAAAATAAATAAATAAGCACTTTCAGAGTTCCAAGTACTCCATACCCTTGAGTCCTCCCCCCCCCGTGACCCCTGCTGCAACCCCTATTTCTTACAAATGCCCCATTAACACCAGCCACTGTGATCTACTTCCTGGGGTTATAAATCATCAGACAGGGCTAATGGATAGGCAGCAGTGGGGGAGAAAATTTTGGTGAAGATCCTGCATCTTCCCTCTCTCACTTAGTGTTTGGTCTCTTTTAAGCTATGTTCCCCCAGTTATAACTGGAGATAGACTTATAGTTTGGAAGGAGCTCCACCAATGTTCCCTCTAAGCCAAGTCAGTTTGTGAGCAGAAATTTTACTTTATGACCTCTGACCTGGAAGATCTACTAATCTCTTCCTCATGCGTCCTCCTAAAAAATATACTGAAATAATTTGGAAAAAATCATTGATGCACAATGGAAACAAAGATACTGATGCTGAAGATCTGTGCTGTGAACTTATAGCAATAGCTTGGAGACTTCCAAAGTCTATGCAACCACAAGAAGTACTTCTCTTCATAGTGCAACAAAAACTCCTGGATAGTGTGCCTAATGTTTCTGTTGCTCCAAGGATCCTTTCAGTGTCAGTGGCTAGTGGTGAACGCAGTTTCTCAGAGCATATAAAAACATATTTACGCCCAACAATGCTGCAAAGTAGACTAGTTGGTTTGGCAACTATATCAGTTGAACATGCCAAAGCATCAGCCATTGACCTGAAGGAATCAGTGACAAAATTTGCGAAAGAAAAGGCTTGCAAAATGAGATTTTGTTGCGGCAAAAAATAGAAACATTTAAGAGAAATTACAGTTCATAGAATTATTCAAAATGATTTGTGTGCTAAAACTGTTTTGTATTTGAGAAAGAAAATTGAAGTTTGTTCTAGTAACATATTTGCCAGTGTATAATGCGACTGGGCATATAAGAGGGCCCTCCAACATTTCCAGGCTCTGCTCCGGCGCCGGCTGCCCAGGGCTCTGCCCGGGCCCGCCCTGGAAGTTCATGACCAATGACAAGGCCCGAGGAGGGCAAGGAGGAGGGGAAGTAGCCGGGCGGGTGGCAGCAGCGGAGGAGGAGGAGGAGGAGGAGGAGGGGAAGTGGCTCTCCGGCGGTGGGCAGGTGGGAAGGCAGCTGGTTCAGCGGCATGGGGTGGTGGGCAGCCCAGCGGTGAGCTCTGGCCACTCAGGCATGGCTGGCTCT